TTTTGGCTGGTTTGTTTAACTACAATTATTTCAGACAGGTGCATACTGAATTAAGAATATGACAATTACTGTGTTTCTATTTTGAAAAGCCACACCAACTTTTCTACAGAGCCAAAGGAAAATGAGTAAGTCTTGTTTATTATATTATTTTCCCCATGTGATGGGAGCTCAGGATTGCAGCTTTCTGGTAGACCCAACACTGAGTATACTGGTATAAAATTGGTTGAAGCTCAGAATTCCTGTTTCACAGGAAATTCTGAACATTAAAAAAAAAAAATCTATTCCAATTTCCTGATGAAAGGGAATTTCAAAAAAAAATAATTGAAAAACTGAAAATTCTCTCTTGATTTTAACCATGTTTATTTTATATTATTTTAATGTCATTTATATTATTTTAATGTAAATTTAGGTTTATATTAAATTATTTTATTCTTCAATTTGTTAGCATTTTTTTCTCCAATTAGTAGAGTAAAACATTTTGTTGTCATTATGAAACAGCTAGACCCGCTGAACAAGAAAATTAGATAAGCACTCAGTATTAACTGGAGTAGCTGCTATTTTTAATATCATTGTATTAGCCTGGAATACTAAAAGCAGCTGCTACTCTCATTACTACTGATCAAAGCATCAAACTATTTCATTGTAACATTAAAAAAAAAAAAAGGTACTTTGACAAAAGAGGACAGTAGGGGGAAACATTTGAATTGGAGTAGCAGGTATTTTCATAATTTTAATTCTAAAAATGAAATATAAAAATATAGTCAAACTTAACATAAAATACAATTATAATAAATATATTTAATACACAGTACATACAAATATATTTCAATTAAAATAAATAGCCAGGTGAGCAAGGCAGCTGACTACCTGGCTTTTTAGAGCAGGCACTGGTGAGCAGTCAGGAGCCTGGGAGCTCTAGCCTAGCAACAACCTACTAAGCTACTAAGGAGCTGGGATCATGGGGCCGCATCAGAAACCTGCTTAGTTTCAGTTAGATTAATTCAATTAATTCTGGTGAAATATTTCAATTAAGTTGAATCAGCATTTTCTGATGGAAAACTATGCTATCAAAAAAACTTCCAGACAGCTATACTGTGTTAGACATAGCTTCCACTCTTTTAGTAAAAACATGCCAGATCCTAGCAGGGGCAACCAGGATTGTATTAGTAACCTGAGGATTGGTTTTAAATACCAATAAGCAATATTGATATATAATGGGGGCAGCTTCTGTTTAATAAATTGAGAATATAGTAAGAAGCTGTGGTCTGTTCAAGAAACTTACACAGACTTAGGCCATGTCTACAATTTTTTTATCAATTTTTTTTAAGGTTGACTTTTCAGCACTGAATTTTGTAAAGTTGAAGGTCCACGTCCCCACTCTGTGCAAAATTCAACACAGTTCGAAGCAGCATATCCCCAGTAGGGTGGCTACTGTCGATTTTGAGAGAGAAGCATTGTGGGGAGCTATCACACAGTTTCTGCACCCCTTTGCATTCTGGGTTATGCTCACAGTACACTCTGGGACCAAAATTGTGCAGCAGGTGGTTTAGAGTACATTCCGTCAGCATCTCAGAATGCACTCATCTCCTCCCTCCCCTCTGCTTGAAAACACTGGCAAACAGTCTCTTTGCACCTTTTTTTCCCCCTGGTTATTCACGCAGACACCATAACAGCATAAGCATGGATCCCATCATGGATCCCATTGAACATCAAAGCATTATAGCAATTGATTTAACCATGGTAAGCCTTATGCTGGAGTATATACAGAGTGTATCTAAGGTCCACCAGAATGAGGAGGAATTTCAGGAGGCCATGAATATACTCTTCTGCAAAGCACTTGAGTTGATTGATTGGCAAATGCCACTGGTATTCAATCCTCTGGACATAGTGGAATGCTGGTTCTGGTGCTGTCAGACAAGCACAGACTGGTGGGACCACATAGTGATGCATCAATGGGATGACCAGCAGTGGCTGCAAAACTTTTGCATGCAAAAGTCTACTTTCATGGAAGTTTGTGAATTGCTTTCTCCCACCCTGAAGCATGCTCTGACAGTAGAGAAGAGAGTGGCAATTGCCTTGTGGAAGCTTGCAATGCCAGACAGCTACCGATCAGCTGGGAATCAGTTTGGAGTGGGGAAGTATACAGTGTGGGCTGTTGTGATCCAATTAGCCATGATAATCAACACCCTTATGCTACGGAGGGTAGCAACATTGGGAAATGTGGAGGACATAGTGGAAGGTTTTGCTGTGATGGGGCCCCCAAACTTTGGTGGAGCAATAGACAGCAATGCACAGCCCTCTCTTGGCACCCAACCACCTTGCAAAGGAGTACATAAATCACAAGGAGTACTTTTCAATGGTGCTACAGGTGCTGGTGAATCACAAGTGTCATTTCACCAACATCAACATGGGATGTTCAGGATAAGTTCAGGACATGTGTAGCCATAGGAACTTCTGCCTCTTCAGAAAGCTTCAAGCTGGAATTTTCTTCCCAGACAACATGGAATGATCTTAGTTAGTCTATGTGCTACACTCTGTAGAGACACCACTGGGTAAAATAAGAAATCAGATGTAGCTTTTAACTATCAAAATAAATGCAGGACCTTTTACCTTTATGGTTAACTCAAATATGGTTGAATTCAAAGGGCCACAAGTTGGTTTACATTAATGTAGAGAGTATTTTGTGTGTTAGGAGAGTGCATGAACACTTCTGCTTTGCCTCATGGTTATACTTCACTTATTTAAATGCGTCTGTTTCTAACAATCCAATATAATCTTAATAGCAAGTGTTAACTTACAAGACAGCTAACTATCTGGCAGAGGTGGCCAAAATACACCCTGCAAGATGCATATGACAATCTTCAGAAGTTTGAGATCTGGGGAACACCTGCTAGGGCTTGGGGCTTCAGCTCAAGCCATGAGCCTGATCAGGCCCAAAAGCCCCTATCTCCCTGGGCAGAAGCCCCTAGCTCACTACTTTGCCACAGGTCAGAAGCTTCATACTCCCTCACCCCATTTGATAACTGTAAACAAACTGCATGTGGCCTGTGAGTTGCAGTCTGGCCACGCGATACAGTATACATATTCCATCCATATCGTATATGCAAATAGGGTGAAATTTAGAATAATAGTTTCATAAATAACTCAGCTTTGTTAGGCAACCCAGAAAAAAGTTTCTTATAAAATGGGCAAATGGGATACTCTCATCAGCAGGGTGTACAATGTGCTGGGAAAAACCCCAAGCAAATGACAACGTAAATGTAAGATGAGCTATAGTTTACAATTTAATGTGAAGTGAGAAAAAACATATAAAAATACCACCAGGTGCCTAGGCACTATGGTCCTGATGCAAAGCCCACTAAGTCAATGTGAGTCTTCTTACATTGCCAAGCTCAAAAGTGTCAGAGTTTCTAATTATGAACTTACAGTGGATTATATGCAACTAAAAATTACAGTTTAGATGTCTACATTCTATCATTTGTGTCTGAGAGATTGGAAAACATTTTTTTAAAAGGTAGCCCTCAAATTAGATACTGAAAAATATTTAGCATTAGTCAGAATTACGTACTTTAAATACACACACACACACTTCTATTTTCTACAAAGGACAAAGCAGCAAAAGGTATTTTAAACCATGAAAAACTGATAATTCTATTTTCAGTGCTCCAGACCTCTACTTTTTACAGAATTCACATTATGTTTGAATAGATTTTTAAAAGAAGAGCCTGTATAATGTGACATGAACTAAGACATCCTTCCTCTTAAAAATGAGTAGTCCTGTGGCACCTTAGGGTGTGTCTAGACTACATGCCTCTGCCGACAGAGGCATGTAAAATAGGCTACCCAATATAGTCGATGAAGCGGGGATTTAAATATCCCTGGCTTCATTAAAATAAAAATGGCCGCCGCACTGTACTGGCTCAGCTGATTGTCGGCACATCGCGGTAGTCAAGACACGGATCGGTTGACAGGGGAAGCCTTTGTCGACCACTCCCTTATGCCTCGTGAAACGAGGTTTACAAGAGCGGTCAACAAAGGCTTCCCCTGTCGACCAATCCACGTCTTGACTGCCGCGCTGTGCCGACAATCAGCTAAGACGGCACAGCAGGGCAATCTAGACCTTGTCAACCGATCCGTGCCTTGACTCACGTGTTGTGCCAACGATCAGCTGAGTTGGCACAGTACGGTGGCCATTTTTATTTTAATGAAGCCGGGGATATTTAAATCCCCAGTTCATCGACTATGTCAGGTAGCCAATTTTCATGCCTCCGTCGGCAGAGGCGTGTAGTCTAGACATACCCTTAGAGACTAGCAAAAATATCATAAGCTTTGGTGGCTAAAGCCAACTTCATCAGCTGAGAACCTTCCTCATAACTAGAACAGTGCTGTTGCATTCCAAGACAATGTAACACTACAGCAGGCCTGGGCAAGAATTTATATAGTTCTCTGTAAACATATATAAAGCCAAGCCAGTATGTTCTTTTCAAAAGAAAAGACAGTAGTAAAATGACAAATCATTCTAGTAAAGACAGTGATGTCAACTCTAATAAAACATTTTACAGACTAGAAATATTCACCTGTGGGAACCTGGGGTAGAGATTTGACAGATTGTGTTTTCTTGGCTCTTTATCAGCAAGTTAATTATAGCAACTTTTCAATCAACTTACAAGTAATACATGGTGCCAGCTGCAGTAAATATAGTTATAGTTTGCCTGGGTAAAGAAAGATAGAAGTGACAGTTCTGCTTACACATGAGGAGATAATGTTAATTACTATCATATATTCAGAAACAAGTGGCAAATCTAGACTAGCAGGCAGAAACAAGTGGAAACACTTACTTCTGATTAAGGCTGGGTAACTTCCAGTACCTAATTTTGGAAACTACTTTTTGCATGTGTGTGTGTGTATATGCTCACATAGTAAAATGCAAAAAAGCTTCAGGGTATTAAAACATTTAGATCAAATGCCAAATCATTTTGTGCTACCTCACCACTATTCACCTTCACAGCTGTAATTGTACACAGCGACTGTTGATCTTTCAACCAGATTCTCATCATGGTGCCAGCTCACTGCCATATTCCCCATTCCAAAATAAGGCTCTTGTTTCAAGTATGGCATTTGTAGAGGATCCATATAATTTAATAAAGTCAAGTTATAAGATGTTCTGTACTTCAGACTGGTGCAAGAATTCCTTGGTGTATGAAGAGTGCTTTGATCTTCTAAGAGGGATCCCTTACCCTTAATAAAAGCAAAATCCTGTTCTCTATCTGTGACAGCAGTATCATCAGTTTCTTTGGTCTCAAATAAATTTTGTTCTTGCAACGCCTGAACTGCTTCTATATTCAAGTAGTCATTCAGTTTGATTAATGCTTTACAAGCAGTAAATAGTTCAGGATGGCAATATTTTATTTCAAAATCATCCATAGGCCATGGAACAGTAAATAGTCTTGTGTTCAAGTATTTGTATGTGTATCCTGGGTTTCCAATTAATATACGAGATACCGGTGTAAAAAAATCTTTTCCTTTGATTCTAACAAGATCTTGGAAAAAACAATCATGTTTTTGCAAGGTCACAAAGGCTTCTTGCACTACATGATGAAGTTCTTTGGGTATGTTATCAGCTTTCTTGAGGAGGAGTTTGGAATATTTGGTCTTCCACTAAAAACAAAAGAAATAAGCAATATGTCATTTTTGTAAGATTCAGAACATATTTTAAATAACCAGGTAAGTATTTTTAAGACTAAGCTTGTATTCACTTTAAGGAAATCTAGATTGTGTTACAATAAGGATGACATATTTTATATTTATTTGGTACTTTCACATTATAAGCTACCTTACAAATCATATACGTACAGCATCACTGAAATACATCAACGAAGTGGAATGCTGCACAAGCACAACAGCAGAGGGAGGGGAAATTTTTGACAATAACCACCAGGTCAAACCCCTGTTCCTAAGCAAAGAGGCACAGAGCAACCTTCAGTTCGCAGGACCCAATACACACATAAAACCCTGCGCTGAGCTGACCCTGATAAGATTTAAAGCTATGGCTCTACATATTCTAAACTCGAGGCTTGGGCCCATGTGCCATCATCTCCTTTGCTCATGACTACTTGTTACATTTGGTAAAGAAGCCACATTGTAATCAGAATACTGGCAAACAGGATCAGTTCCAATACTGACAGGAGGACACTTACCTCCTGCTTAGTAGAGAAAAGAAACCAACTCTGGCAAGATGTGGCAGAAAGGAAAAAAAGGTGACTACAGCCATGTGATACAATTCTTAGTAGTGATGTAAGCAAAGCTTTGTAGAATGACTCTCCTGTATAATTTTTGCAACATTTTTATTAGAGACAGAAGATTACGAAAGGTGTCAAACTGACAGCTCCATTTTCCTATTCAGTTAGTGCATGTTTGTGCCATTTATTATATTAATCGCTTCTGGTTTTATAGGAAGGTTAACAAAACAGAAATGCAGAGGTTTCCTCCAGGTTACCACATTTTTTCGGTCAAGATCTGCTTGTCATGCATTACTGCAACTGCTAGGGCCTCTAGAGTTACATACAATATGGATCAAATACTAGCAACACCACCAAAGGTAAAGTCATGCATCTAGGAACAAAGAATACAGGTGTTACTGGTTGATTTTATTCTTGGAAAGGAAGACTCTGCCAATTAATTTCAATTTCACCACAAGAAAGGAACACAGTGCAGTTAAATTAAAACTTGAAGGTTACCAATTCAATGCACTATTAATAGGCCCGACCATTGGAATATAATAGAGCTGTACCACCATCTGTTTTTTAATCAATCTACTTACATTTTAAATGTTCCCTTATTTAACATTTAAACAAGAGTAAGTACATGGTTGATCTTAAAGGAACACTATTTTATTTAGAGTTGCAAAAATATGAAGAAGTATCCATCTCAAGCTAGGAGCAGCCTTGTTGTATTATTTAATTTGTACAACACATAATAGGCTGCTTGTCCTTCTCCAAGAAAAAAAAATACAAATATGCACAGCTGACATCATAATAAAATAATATCTCTTCCATATCTACTTATCCCTTTCTAAATCCCTGAGAGAAAAATAAAATGGTCCTTGACTCTGCTGCAGTTGTAACTGAAAGTTAAATGACTGCAAACAGGATGGGAGTTGGACTACAAGAATTTGATCCACACTGTGAAAAAATTTGTGACCCCCCTTGTCACAGACTCGCTTGTACACCAGCGCTTGTGACGCTAGCCACGCGATTATCGCCCTCCAAGGGCGGGGTGGGGGTCCGGGCCCGCCCTCTCTCCGGACCCCAGTCCAGGGCCCTAACACCGGGAGCTCTGCTCCCGATGGTAGCAAGCGGGGGGTGCCCCCTAAACGCACTTGCTCTCGGGCTCTGCGACCCTTCCCTGGGCCAACACCACCCCGCTGTTGGGCTCTTACCCTCCGCCCGTAGCCCTCAGTGGGGGTCGGGCAGCCAGCCCTTCCCTGCCGCCTCTTCCTTCGTTTCGCACTCTCCCTCCCTTTCGACCCCGATTACCTCCGCCCTCTGGCGCCCTTAGATACCCCACGCCGCTCTGCGCTCCCTCCTCCCCTTCCGGGTGCCCCGCCCGACTCCTACCCGTCGCGCTTTCCCCGGCATGTCTTGATGACGCATTACTGCCCCGTCTCCCGTGCCCGGCAACGCAGCTGGAGTTAAGCCCGGCGGCTCTCCGCCGTCGTCCGCTTGCGGGTGACAGGGTTGCTTCACCCCGTCACACCCCCCAACTCAGCAAGTGTCAGACTATTATCTTTACATTTATTCTGTTGAACAAAATGAAACCAAAGCCCAAGTGTTGTAGTCCCTCTCTGAGATATATCAACAATGGAGAGACTAACCCGGAAAACAGCTACAGGCAGTCCCCGGGTTACATGGATCCGACTTACATCGGATCCCTACTTACAAACGGGGTGAGGCAACCCCGCACTAGCTGCTTCCCTCCAGCAGACCAGGGAGACGCGAAGCTAGCGCCCCTCCCCCAGCAGACCAGGGAGACGCGGAGCGGCTTTTCTCAGCAGACACCTCAGCTTGAAAATAAGGGAAGTGAGGTGTGGGAAAATAAAACTGAGCTCTGAAGAAATGTCTGGCTAGAGTTTCCCCTACAATATGTACCAGTTCCGACTTACATACAAATTCAACTTAAGAACAAACCTACAGTCCCTATCTTGTACGTAACCCGGGGACTGCCTGTAGTTGCAAAAAGGAATGCAGAAAAATACAGTCTTAGTATGGCTGGCCTATACAATACTTAAAAATGTTCCTCTCAGAAACTAAATCACATGACAGCCATATAAATAAAAAGGAAAGAATACGGTAAAATTCATCAGCAGATTCTGTTTCCCTGGAAACAGAACGTAGATTAGGGATGTGAATGTGTACCCATGTACAACATTAACTGATGAATCTGTGTCAGAGGCCACATGGGGTAGGAATGGGGGGTGGGGAGCAGAAGTTGGTACACACTGAGAGTTTGCTTTGGAGCACAAGTTGGTACACACTGAGAGTTTGCTTTTAAGCCAGCTCCCCATGCATACCAGCTCCCACGGAACCGCCTGCTCTCCTCCCCATGCTGCTGCCTCTGGTACAGAGGCAGTAGGAGGGGAAGGCTGTGTATACCTGAACCAGCAGCCAGGTATGGGGAGGCAGGAAGTTCTGTGGGACCCAGGTCCTACCTGCCTCCCCGCATGTAAACGTGTAACTGCTGAAATTTTTAGCAGTTACATGTTTACCTAAACAAACACATTTTAACATCCCTAATGGAGATCTGAGATTCATCTTGCTTTCCTAAAGAGAAGTGATTGTCAAGTATTTAAGGCCTATGGAATGAACAAAAGTACTTCAGCAACATTGGTGGTTTTTGTTTTGAGAATATGATTTTTGTTGATGTTCCTCACCTGTTCCAAAGCCCTTCAGTTGATAAACTAGAGCTCTTTGAGTGAACATATCTATTGGGAAAATCTGGTAGAGATTTTGATCAACATCCTTCTTTTTTGCATGTACAAACTGAAAGTTTTAAATACTGAGAAATGACTTAAAGGCTGTTGGTTGTTCATATTTGCATGTGTGTGTTCAGTGTTTCTCTTTCTCTTCGCATTTACTTTACATTCTGCTCCAAATTATGGTCTTAATTAGATTAGTTACAGACTTCCTACCTCCAGGCCTTGATGTTTTTCATTCTGATAATTTAACCCTTTTCACTCTTGGACAGAGTTGCCAGTTTACTTAACACTGCATTCACTGGTCCCTGCCACCATCAAGCAACTGGATCTAGCATACTATTACAATCTTTGCTCCAGAAGATACAAACCATCTCTTTTTAGGCTGAATTCCTGCTCACCCAATGAAAGAGCATTTATCTCCTGTATGAACCAACAACAATCACAACTACCTTTCTATCACTTAACCATCAAAAAGTATAAATCATAATCTACCTAACTATATTTTTAACTTCTGTTTGTCCAAGTTTAAATGCTTCAGAGGAGCCAAGTTAGTCTGTAACAGGAAAAACTTTAAAAAAAAACCAAATAGTCTAGTAGCACCTTAAAGACAACCAGAACATATAGATGGTGTCATGAGCTTTCATGGGGAAATCCCACTTCTTCAAATGACCAGAGTACAAATTGTTAAACTTGCTATTACATGTAGATTTTCAAAATCATGTGATATGAAAGAGGTGAAAGAGAAAGGATGCTATTTTAGAATGCTATATTAGTGGTAATAATGAAGTTGCAATCTAACTGATTAATAAACCATGACACTATTGGGTGGTAATTGTTAAACTTAATATATTGTATGCCAAAAGATTTACAAAACTATCCACAATTCCCAAGGAGGCATTTTTCAGATCTGATTTCAGTGGGAACAGCAGAGTGCTCAGCAACACTGACAATGAGACCATTTAAGTGCCTAACTTTAGATACCAAAGTTTGAAAATGTTGGCAAATATCTATTAGGGATGTGATAGTGTATATGTTTAAACGGTTATCTGATGAGCCAGCCCCCTGCACATACTGGGTCCCACGAAGCCGACTCTCCTCCTCCCTGGGTGTAAATATGTAAATATGTAAATATGAAATTTTCAGTGGTTACACATTCATAAAATAAACATATTTTAACATCCTTAGTATCTATAAGCATGGCCCCAGTTATTCCACTGTTTTCCAGCAACAGAACTGTGCTCTAGGACAGTGGTACGCAACCTCTGGGTCGTGACCCCCAAAGGGGCTGCAGATGTCTTCTGGGGGGGTCACGATAGCGGTGGGCATAAGCCCCAGCTGCCCAGATCTAAGGACTGCGCCATGCTGCTTAAATTACTTTGGGGGTTGTGACACAAGTACAATAAAATGTGGAGGTTGTGGTTGAAAACAGGTTGTGCGTCACTGCTCTAGGAAACTCATCTTTGATTTTAAAAAATGCTTTCTTCTTGAGTCTGCAGAGAGCCTGGCACATCTTTAAGAGGTATCATCTTCCCCACTGATCACAATCTGAGCTCCAGGAACACTGTGATTCTGCAGTTGCACATTTGGTGATATCAAAGATTCCAAGTATGCAATTTGCCAGATTGCTGCACCCAATCATCCAGCATTTTGTTTTCAGTTTAACTGTCCTACTGGGACCTCCCTGCAAGTGCTGCTTTCTCCCTAGCTTTTCCCACAAAGATAAATTAATTGGATTACAAAACATGGTCTTTGCACAATTCCACAAAGCAGGCAAGAAGGAGTTGAGGTATTGGAACTAGAGCACCAGATGTCTGGTCTAGTAAGCTGAGTTGAGCTCAGCTGCTTAGAGAATAGAGCAGCAGCCTAGCCCCAAGGATCTGAGAGGACCATCTCTCTTGACACAAGTGGGGAAGGAGGCTCTGAACTATAGCACGACTGCTGAGCCCCATGACCCACCTGAAGAATACAGTGAAAAACATCATTAATAATCATTAAAAAAAAAATAGAGAAGTTTCATATAACTGAATATGTTCAAATCAGACATATTAGTGTGTGTGTGTCTGTGCGTGGGCGTGGGGAGAGGGATTACATGAAGATGGGAATTAAGGCTATTTAATGCAGATAAAACATTTTAACACCACTATAGATCTAGGAGTGCTTATTGCAGTATTTAGTTTTTGGCTACAGAATATGATCCAATTATGCAGAGGTATATATGGCTCTGCATATAAGCAATGCTTAGGGAATAAATTAACGCCTTTACTTGTGTCACATCATTAGGGTTGCCAGGTGTCCGGTTTTCGCCCAAATGGCCCATTATTTGTGGCCCCTGTCCGGTAAAAAAAAAACAAAAAACAAAAAAAACAGAAAATACCAATTGTTTTCTCTGCCATGTTCAGGATTTTTTGGGAAAGTATCTAGCATCCCTACACATCACTGCTGGATTTCTTTGCACTAGTTTAGCATAAGGAAAGCCTATATTAGGCTTTTATATTAATCAATAGCCAAATAATATGTATTTATTATGACAAATTTAGGAAGGTGTTCTGTATTTTAATACAGTCTTCAAAAAAGTAACAATCTATTCGAATTCTCACATTAATCACCCGAGTAACATTTCAAGCAAAGAAATAATACAAAGAGAGGAGGGAATTAACAAGATACTGCAAATCAATTAGAAGTCTGAGAGGAAGTTGCAGAGATTATTCAAACACAATAATCTTTCTCTCCTGTTAAAACATGGAGGTAATATCTTCCATATTTTAATGCCAGCCAAATCAGAAGCACATTATCTTTGGCTTGTGCGCAAAGATCACATGCTTAAAAACTATATTATCAATACTTCTGACGTGGTATCTTTGGTCTTCCACCCTAAAAAGCATGTATTGGTTTTTCAGAAGAAAACAGGATGTGGAAACACGTTTCAAACATATCTCAAAATATTGTTTAGTATTTTTTAAATCTCCAACCAGCTGTCATGCTATGTCCTACACAAGGAAAGCATTAAGGGATCACAAAACAGGGTAAACACTGAATTCATAGTGAATGCCAGGTTGGTTGAAAATAATCATATCCTGTATGCCGTAACTCTGACAGCAGATGTTAAAGGTCAGCTCAGTATTGATGCTGATAAAAGTACTTGTGTAACTTCAGGAATAAACATGTACATATAAAAAATCAAGCATGGAATGTTCATTACATAAATGGTATTTTAATATTAGCCACGTTGTGAAGTCTAACACACAACTTGTTTTCAAGAAACAGGATGACCCCATCACTCGAGTATCTGACTTGAGCTATAAACCAGTGAGCAGGTACTTTGATAAGCAAGTTGACTCATATATTTTACATCATGAGATATTGTGTTTCATTAAAGACATTCAGCAAGTCCTCTGATTAATTACTATGATTTTTTCTGGTATTCTTCTCAGATGCTGAGATCCCGGAAAGGATCTTTTTTGCTGTTTTGATATGTTTTGAGAGAAGGACGCTCACACTTCTGACAAAAAACACTCTGTGACAGTGCTTTTCTTGGTAGGAAGTTTGCCCATGTATTTTTTTACTATTAGTTATTATTTGTATTACAGTAAATGCTCCAGCAAGACCTCTATCACATTGTGCTAGGCACTGCACAAATCTATAAAAAGAGACTGAAGGAGAGCAAAAAGGAAATATTAAACCAACTCTTTTCTACAGATGGGATATATGACTCAGAAAGATCAAGTGACTTACCCAAGATCACAAAAGAAAACTGAAACTGAGTCAAAAGTTGAACACAGACCATCCTTCCTCTCTGCAAAGTGCAATGCTGCTATCTTAAAATTCTTCATGGCCCTGAGCTCCCACCAAAAAACAAACAAACAAACAAAAGCGCACACCACCACCACCACCACCAAACAAATAAAACCAATCCTCCCTTCCTTCAGCACAAGGCTGTTTTTGCTACTAAATGCATCATCTTTGAGCCATACGTCAATACAAGAAAGCTGACATGGCTGTAATGTAGGAACCCTTGCTATAGTTGTTCAGACTAAGTAAGAGATTCCTTTTCGTGTCTTTCATCTTACTGAATATGTTCCAACCTCATTTGACTGGGCTTACAATTCTTTGCACATGTTTTCTATTTGACCTGAGAAAAGTCCAAGATACTCCTAGCAGTATTCTTCTAGTTTTTTAATGATATGCCGCTGTATACTAATTTGGTTTAGTTATGTGACTATTGGGCATGTTTTAGCTTTCCTTAAATTTCCTTTGAGGCATACATTCTGGCTTTTGTAGTTCAGTTTCTATGCCCAGTCTTAAAGCATTGTGTATTGTTTGTGACTAGAATTATAAATTTAAGCATAATTAAGCCATATATTCTAAATCTCATTTTAAAGACTCTTAATCTCTTCCAAATCCAGTCTATAGAACATGTTCTCCAGATGATTTAAGTCATGAAGACTTCTGAAAGAAGTGACTCCTGTGCTCTTTTTCACTCCAGTTAAGCATGAGATATTGCAAATCAAAATCATATATAAGTCACTTGACCACAAGTTACAAGAAATAAACTTTATATTTTTGTATTATTATGTGAACTTTTACTTCATATAAAGATTAAAAAGGAGACTTTTAGAGCTACCATTTACAGGTATGAACTAAAGATCAAGAGATAAATTAATGGGCTTGTTGAAGGCAATGGCAAAACTCCATTGCTGCTTGATAAAAATGCCAAATAAAGTTTACTAAACATAGGTTAAAAATAAGGTACAATACCACTTGGTGAAATTCAGCATCTTTAGGTGTCAGATATGGAAGCCAAGTCTCTCCAAGTTCTTCAAGAAGCTTTCGTTTCTGTTTTATTTTTTAAAAAAAGCATGACATGAAATTAGTCAAAGAAACAAGTAACAAATAGTAAACTAGTTGTATAAACAGGAGCAGAGAAAGTGTAAAAAGTTAGTATTGTTTCACTAGCCACAATAAAAAATGCATCTTAAATAAACATGTTGAGGTAGATAAAACCTCATCTTGAGTTATGCCCACTTAATCGAGTTTCCCCAATTTTACTTCAGAAGTTTCAGAGGATTAAATACTGCACTTAGTTTTTCCTTAGGAGAACCTTCCTTAACTACCCTAAAAAATACATTCATAATTCGAGGTTCTGCAGAATTTTGCATGCTTTAAATGCTTGGTTTTGTTTACTTATTTGCTTTTATTTTCCACTTTGAATATGTTTCATGAGTGTAAAGCCTAGTGTAGCTCAGGCTGTGGTAAACTCTAAACAAGCCTGAATTTTGTTTTAGCATCGGTATCTAATATAGAAAAGACTAGGAAACTTCATCCTCTTTACAGCATTTCCAATCCAATCTTCCAACTTGACTTCATCTGGCTCAGGAAATCTGCCTTTCCAAATAAATAGCCATAACTCTGATCTGAAGCTAATAATCACCCATCACTCCTCCCCACCAACTATAGAATGGGGGAGCTCTCCTTTTTTTCTCTCCTCTTTTTTAAAAAAAAAAAAAAAAGTTTTTCTCTCTTGGTGTCTGGGACATTTAATTTGAGAGAACTATCAGCTTTTCTAAATAAAATGAGAATATTTTGGTTGTAATCCGCTTAATATTCCTATTATTTAAGAAAATGATTAAGAAAAGCAGACTTGTAACCTGTAAGTTTCCTTCATGTTTGTCTTATTAAAATGGATAGCTGACACTATGTGTGTTTATTATGGCATTAACACTTCAGACCATGAAAGAGAGCATTTGGCACTGGCCATAGAGTTTCTGAAGCGATAATTGTGACAGGACCATGCACATACTCTCACATCAGTCAAATT